GACACCAAGGCGTTTTGCTGCACCTTCTACAGCCCGGAGAATCCAACCTACAAAGATAGCATCCTGGCCAGATAATTAGCACAGGCCTGTAGGTTTTACTGACCCTCCCGTACCGTTGAATATGGTTGAGAACTCACATTCTAATAAAGAGAATTGTGCACCAAAGGAAGACTCCCAAAGTTGCCCTGAGAATGCTTCAAGGCAGGTAAAAATCCAAATCCAAAACATGTTTTTGTATTTGAGACCCCAATGATAGAGATCCAAAGCAATAACCAGTGTTTTTGTTTTTAACATTACAGAGACCTGGAACAAACAATACTCAAGCTGCTGCAAAAGATGGTCCTTGCAATTTAGGTTTGCAGAACCTGACCTCACAGGTGTGTGTGTGTGTGTGTGTGTGTGTGTGAGCCTCGCTGGATAATCATCGTAAAAGCCTGTTGTTCTATAGAACATCTTTCTTGTGTTCATTTGCATCAGTGTGTTAATAGCACAATAATAGCAGGAAGCACTGAAGGATTACAACACAACATTAGTCAGTAGTGTCCATAGACACAGAAACAGATATGCCCTTAGATATCTTGGTGCCTGAAATAAGTAATGGTAGTGATGGTGGGAGGAAATAAATAAGTTAAAAACATTATGTCACATTCTAGGTATTTCTGGAATTTGGATGTAACTTCATTTCAGATACAGATGTGCAAGTGCATCTATTCTTTGGACACACCACTTGGAAAGGGACTTATGGATGCTCTTTTCTGGTGCTCCCAAGCAAAAGTAAAATAAGAACCTACCACCATCCAGTCATGCACCAGGTTTAAAATATTTTTGACATTTAAAGTTATAAAAACGTATTAATGTGATATGCTTTGGTGTAAAACTCTAGCATTTTTTCCCATCAAAATGACTCACAATTTACTTTACCTGATGCAAGAAGTGATGGTCATTCTTTCTGATTTTGCTGGAGAACACTGTAAGTAGATTTAACATATTGTATACATATAGTCTGGCTATTTTCTGGTCTTGTAAATTATAAGGCACCAGATTCTGTCTGATCTTGGAAGCTAAGCAGAATCACCCCTCAGACTGAGTGCTGGACTAGGACCTTGGAAATCAGGATTTGAATCCCTGCTTAGCCATGGAAACTCATTGGGTGAGCTTGGGCAAGTCACACTCTCTCAGCCTCAGAGGAAGGTAATGGCAAAACCTCCTCTGAACAAATCTTGCCAAGAAAAACCCATGATAGGTTTGCCTTAGGGCTATTATAAGCTGGACACGACTTGAAGGCCACAACAACAAGCCAAATTATAATGATTTTAGGCACCAAAGATTTTTTCTAAATTGAGAAATATATCCATATCATTCCTGTCTCGGGTCAATGAAGGATGGTCACTTTATGGACACTGGCATACATTCTCTTCTAGTCCTGACTACTAGAGCAGATGTTGAATTCATTATATCATTGATCTGAGATTCCCATTATAGCTTGCTCACTCCTCAAGGGTTGTTCCAATATTATCTAATTAAATGTCAAGATGTTCTCCTTCAGACCATCCTCTTGACAATGAATCCTGCATATGGTCTGAAGCCCAAGGATTTTCTTTGTGTGATTATATGGTCCCTCTAAACTTTTATCCCAAAATAAAAAGTAGGCTATGTGTATTAGAATTAGGGAGGTTGTGAATCAAGAAGGGAGGTCAGAGAATGCTTGCCAAGGGAGATCATGATCCTCCAAGAATTATTATCTTGGAACAGTATCTCCATCATGTTGTCTATGGAACCAGTTTGTTTTGGGAAAAGAATAAACATGGCTGTTTTGTAATCTGTTGTTTCAGAAATTGCTAACTGAAGCTTGTTTGATGAAGGGGAGAAAAGGCCCATTGTACTGTGGGATGGCTCCAGAGGAGACAGAAGACGGACAAAATACAAAGTGCTAAAACTGGAAGCTTATCAGACAACAGGAAGGAAGGCTAAAGTCCAAAACTTTCCCACTTTTAAGTAGCACAGTTCTGAGTCAAATGAGTGGCAGAGCTTTAAAACAATTAAGTACAAGAAATCAGAAAAAAAGAGAGTGTTTATATAAGCCCAACCAAGCCACATACAAGATGAATCTCATTTAAGTAAATGTTTTCATAGGCAATATAGCTTCTAACACAAGTCGTCTTTGCAGTGAAGCATTCCTGTGCTGCCAATTTTGCTGTCCCTGAGGACTACTGGAAACAAAACAATATATGGGAATGGAGCCAGATCTGTTCTAGGATCGAGACTGGGTTCAGGGCCATTGAAACACGGTGATCCATCCTAGAGATTGAATATGTTTGCCATAGGTCATGCTCTATAGTCTCTCCAAGAGGCAAGCATATTTAAGAGCTGTAGGGTTTACTTTGTTTTTGTTTTGCTTTTTTTAAAAATTAAAACCCAAAGATCCAACATCCAGGGCCTGGTGAAAAAGGCATAAACATCAAATCAAAAACCAGAATGCTGTTGGCATAATTCCTTGTCATACCATTGTTAAGTATTTTGAAGAAATGTTGCACAAGGAGGTCACAGAATCATAGAGTTGGAAGGGGTCTTATGGACAATGCACTATCTCCAGTTAGAGCATCCCTAGGAGGTAGCTGGTTAGCCTATTTTTTTTATATTTTATTGTTGCAAATTGAATATAACATAAACAAACAAAAACAAACAAACACAATAAAAATACATAATACAATACAATACACACACACACAAAAAACCCAACAGTTAAACTTCTTCACTACCAAGTCTAATGATGAAAATCATCATATTAACTTCTTATCACTATTTTTGAAGACATCCAGAGAAGTAGACTTCATCACCTCTC